CAAGTGATGCTTTGTGTCGAAGTATCATTCGACTCTGTATTTAGATGAGGCCAGACATTTACGCAATTCACATATCTATGTACTTTGTTGAGGCAGGTTAATATCGCTGAAAATTCCTCTGATGAGCTGAGTCTAATTTGCATGGTAATACCTCGATCACTTACAGCACATTGTCACCACAACTAGCAAACTTTTCATGATGTGCATGATTGAGGCATAACCGTGTTGCACGGAGAGGGGAGGGGGAAATGAGTGAATATTCTCGTGTTTTGTACCAGAAATCTTGAAGAAAAAATAGCTATGTGAACAGAGTGAGGAATAGCATGAATTGCATTTGGTGTTTTCAGGATGGTACATGTAAGCCGGTCAATGAATTGTTTTCAAAACTTGCACTGGAAGAAAATGGTGAAGACAATGGTCGTAAACAGCGTACTGAGGGGCAGCAACATGGCGGACGGAATAAAAGTGGTGACAGGAGAACTCCAGTTAAAGTTAGTTCAGCAGCAGTGCTTTTAAGATGAGCGCTGTGCAGCTGAAAGGGAGCTTTCAGTTGGCAGGATATATCGCACATCAGCTCTATCGTAAATTTTCAGCGTAATTATGCGAGTTTAGAAACATTTTTACCAAGAACTTGCGGTGTTTCAACTCCATTAGCCCACAATTTTATTATTAACTTATTTCTTCGTTAAATTTTCATCCATGGTTTTTTTTAGTTAAGCCCGTCAGTTTTTGAGCCCAGTTTGACACATCACTAACTGGTGCTGTTCTTTCACTGAGAGTTACGCTTCTCATAGTACGCTTTTTTCTTTTTTTTCTTCCGCTGAAAAACTTGGATTCTTGACTTCGAGGAAAGAGCAAGATTGGCACATGTTGAAGAGTGCACCTTACTGCATTATCTTGGTGATCGTTACGCCATGAATGCACACAACGCATTTAATTAGTACCACATGGCAGTCAGCCTGATAGATAGCGAGTAGGAAATGTTAAAAAGCGAGGATTTCAGACAAAACCAACGAAGACGAAAGGCGATTCACTTGATGCGAGAGCGATGGTGGGTAATGGGATCGCAGATCAAGATGAGAATAAAACAGCCGCAGATGGCTTGGCGGCTGAACGTCGTTCTTTAACACGCTTTGTACAGCGTCAGCGACCTGTTCTTAAAAATGCCGCAGAAATAACGCTGAATGTTGTGGATGATGAGGAAGATTCCAATGTAATCGTGATCTCCGATTCCGACTAACCGTGCGCCAGTTCCGATCCAGTGTTGTATGATTTTTGTAATGTTAACACTTTTCTTTGCTTTTATTGTAGCTGGGCTTCTCGTTGTTATGTTTTATCCTCTTCATTTGCTCATGCCATTTACTCTGCGTGGATTTCTGACTTTTTTCTTTTCTTCAAATCTGATTTCAAATCCTCCTCGGTATCCGCTCTCAAATGAGAGCCAAAGATGTTTGAGATGTAGTGCAGTTGGCAGCAAGTACATCTCTAGCAACCGCTGTTAAGGCTCGCAATGATCCCCGTTTTCAAAGTTGCAACCTAATGCCGGGTTTGACTCCCTGGCGTGCACCAGTACCAATTTACAATCGAAACGAATGAATGGATCGCAGAGAGGAATTGTTCTCCCATCGGCAGAGTCGAACTGCTGTATGGCATCGGCGCTACTTCCT